AGTGACGTCATATTCAGTACTTTGACAGTTCACTCTTCGGCCGCTCCATCTTATTAGGGAAATTCCACATATATAAATGTAAATTTCAAAACTCAACCCCATCATTTAATTTGTTTCTGATTGAAATTGAATATTACTTAAACTCTCTTAAATTAACTTCCAATAAAAAAAGTTTATCATTGATTGACATTCATTCAGAAATGTTTAACGAATGAGCTGTCACAACTTTCAAGTACAAAGTTGTTATGAAGTCTGTCACATCCCCCCTTTTTTATTTTTTATCCTTTATTTATTTATCCTTCTTATTTCATTGTGCTGTATATTGTTACTCTTATTTGCCTTGTATGTCTACTGTACAAACTGAACTGGAATGACTGACTGTTCGCTTTATAATTTCAATAAAGTTTGGAAAAAAAAAACAACCTCTTCAGCCGCTCCCTTCTGCTGTATTTTGCGGCAAAATTATCCACATCCACCGCCGCGCTATGAATTGTGGGATATATGGGACCGCGAAGCGTGCACCGGACCACGCTTGATATTTGGGGAAATCGACGGCGCATTTGGAGTATGCGTTTGAAGCACACTTCGAATTGGGACAGCCGTCGTCGCGTGGCGGTGACGTAACCGCACTTAAAATGCGTACTTCAAGCGTGCGGTCTCTTAATTGGGACACAGCCAGAGAATCACGTCAAATACGACTGATGTGAATGTGTCACTTCCTGGTTGTGACAGGAAGCCGCTGCTGGAGGAAGTGACACGGAGGCAGTGAAGAGGCACACACCCTCTTATTTTAGAAAATAATTTAATAACAGGTGAATGTAAAAAACATCAGTGGCAGGACGCGCATCTCCTCTGCTGCTAATACTCTTTAATCAGCTGATTGACAAAACAAAAGCACATTGCACATGAGTCTCAGAGGGGCGTGGCCAACAGCGGCGGTGGTCGGTCCAGTCTCTGCATCCGCTCCCTTTCTCGCCGCGTCGCCTCAGTAACACTCAGTTTGTTTAACTAAAGAGTCCACAGACAGGCGACGGCGGCGTCCTCTTGACACACACACACAGGCGCCAAACACACCCTCAGCACCCCCCTCCCCCCGCCGGGTAAATGAGATATAAAAGGGAGGGAAATGACTCCAACTGAAAAGTGAGGAACTAAAGAAAGGTGATGAAGAGTGAGGGCGGCACTCAGCTCTCGATACTTACACTCACACCGACGCGCTCCCGGAGGGGGCGTGGCTTCAGCGGCCGGGGAGGGGGACGTCTGGCTTACCTCGTCTGCTCTCACTCAGTCACCTACAGCCTCTCATTATTGATCTATTATTGATCAGTCTGATCAGCCGTCCTCGCCGAGCGATGGGCCGACGCCCCCGCTCACGCTCACCCCCGCCCGCTGACAGCAGTCCCACAGCCGCCGAAGGCGCTCCGAGGCCCCGCCGTCCGCTGCCTCCAGCAGCAGACGCTACAAGGGTGTGGGGGGGACAAAGGGAGGGGTAAACAGAGGTTGGGGAGGGGTAAACAAAGGTTGGGGGCATGCGGGAGGGGGACGGGGACGGAGGGCAGGTGAACATGCTGTATACAGGTGAGTCAAACTGTTTATAGTCACATGGTCATAGAATACGAGGCAGTACAAGCCAATCAGCATGGGCCGACGCTCTATCTGAACAGCTGATCTCAGATCTACTACAGGGCCACACACTCTGACCAATCAGATTCCAGCATTTCTTTTCCCAGTCCAAGTTTTTAGGACCCCCCCCTTCAGATCTGAGAGCAGCTGTCCAATCACAGCTTGTCTAATGTGATGTCATTATCTGTGTGTGTGTATATTACATGTTTCCACAGGGCTGCGCTCAGTGGGAGGTTCTGCAGGGCCTGCTGGAACATGTGACGCACCTGAAACACAACAAGGGGGCGGAGACAAACACCACTGAGTGCTCAGCTAGACTCCACCCTCTTTTCTTGATTTGATTCAGTCTCAGACTCACCTCAGCTCGCTCCTTTAGCTCCTCCTCCACAGCAATTGCTCTATGAACATACGCACACACACACACAATCAGGACGCAGTAATCATTGATCACTGATCTGGCGGGACTGTCGACACGCACTCACATTTTCCAGCTGCTCAGACACTTGGGGGTGTTACCGCTCAGCATCCGGGCCTGGAACTTCAGGTGCTCCACGTTCCCATCCAGCCACTCCTGGTGCAACAACCTGAGCAGACACACAGCAGTGACATCGCTGATGTGGGCAGAGCTAAACTGTCCCTGCGGTCGGATGATTTAAATCCAACGACAAACAGGAAGTAGATGTATTTTCCATCTCATTACTGGAGTCAAATCACTGACAAGTGGCATTAAGCTCCACCCAGTCCTCCTCCAAGTGTGTACCTGAGGCCCAGCTCAGTGTTATTGGGCATAGTGTAGCACAGTCTCTCCAGAACCAGTGCATGCTGGGATGGCGGCAGGCAGCTCAGGTAAAGCGCGACCACCTGCAGAGGGAGACATGACATCAGCAGACTACAACTACAGACCTGCCGCTGAGCAAGGCAGCGAGCGCTCACATCTGTGTGACGACGGCACAGAGTCGTGACATCACGCAGGTGAAGATGGCGTGTGGCAGCAGACTCGACCTCTGACCTTGTTGTGGAAGCGGTAGCAGCTCCAGAACTCTGCGGCGTTGAAGGGGAGCTCGAGTCTTGAGGGGGTGGTGCTGAGGCAGCGCTGGACCAGGTCTGAGAACGTCCTGGACTGTGAGGCGGCGGTGGCGGCGCGGGCCTGCGGGCTGCAGCTGAACGTCAGGTAACTGCAGAGAGAGGGAAACTGTGAGCAGTGGGCGCGTGCGGTCGAGGAGGAAGTACCTGTGGCAGGTGAACTCACTCCATCCACAGCCTGTGAAGCTCCTCCAGCTGGGTGACCGCCCCCAGTGCGCGCTCAAACGCCTCCGCCGCGTCCTCCACCGAGCCGTGCAGCCACTGCCACCGACTACAACGACAGCGAGCACGTTAACCCTACTGCGCCCGCTTTCATCATCACCGCAGGACGCCATTTATGAAACCTTAAACACCAACCAGTGAATGAGGTGGAGGAAGCTCATCTGCTGGCTCAGCCGCTCCTGCAGCTCCTTCTTGATGACGGGACCTCCCAGCAGCTCGGAGGAAGAGGAGAAGCCCAGGATGTGCCTGAGGGAGGAAGAACAGAGCGCCGTCAGCTGTCCGTGCGGACTACAGCTGGGAAGACGGAGGCGTCGGGACGTACCGCAGCACATCTACGGGCGTCCTCGGACTCTGCTCGTCCTCGCAAAGCGACAGCACGAAGCCTCTGAACAGCGGCGTGATGGCGCCCGCCTCCTCCTGTGGACACAGAGACTGTTCTTAGCGTCGAGAGGCGGAGCTTAAACTTTATTCACAGACTCACGGTCGAGCTCACCTGAGCCATGAGGAACTTGCAGCAGTGGTAGAAGACCTCGGCGTTGTGGGGGCATTCGGCCAGAGCGTGGAGCCACATGCTGACCGCCCGGTCGCCGCTCCCGCCGTGCAGGTGGAGGTCGGCCACAGCGTCTCGCAGAACGCACGACTCGGGACAGAACTCGAGCAGCGACTCGCACAGCGCGACGCCCTCGCTGTACCTGCGCACACACACAGCGAGGCGCTTCATAGACCACGATGTCACCGAGCACAAACAGATTTGACCTTTGACTTCACAGCTGTTCACAAACCTGACACGATGACATCACACGAGAGAACAAACATGGCGCACTCTGCACTGACCTCACAGGTGACCTTGCGTCACCACACCTGCTCCTCTGGGCAGGTACGGTGCGGCTCACTAACCGTGTGGCGAGCGTGACGAGGTCAACCGACCAATCACAGAGTCAGAGCGGTCTGAGGTGGGCGGGGCTCTGATTACTCGAATGTTCATCCCGCTTCCTCACAGTGTGATGTCAGCAGCGAGCTCACCTTTGTAGCAACTTGTAGAGGAAGATGAGGTTGGTGTGCAGAGGAAGGCAGGCCAGCGTCCTCTCGCTGTCAGATGCGTGGTCGTCGCTGCACTGACGGACGCCATCTGAGAGGAAACAGTCACACAGGAAGTGGAAACCAGTTAAGCTTAGGGAGACAAGAACCTCGCGTGTCTGCTGGGTCGCAATGCCATACCTTGGAAGAGAGCGATGAGGATGTCGGCAGGCGTGCTGATGTCCTGCGGCGTCCTCCATGGCAGCAGGAACGGCTCCCTGCTGACTACACGGGACGGGCCGGACTCCGCGGGGTCATACAGGCACGCCGGCAGTCGGTCGAACTCCGTCAGGTGGATGTAGGAGAGCCAGAGCAGCGCCCGGTCGGCGGCCATCAGGTGGTCGGCGATGCTCCGGTCCTGAGGTGACTTCAGAGCGTTCTGAGAGGAGAAATCCAGATGTCACGTCACATTAGTCCCGCCCTCTGGAATACAGGTGACAGCCAGTCATGTGGCCCCCAACATGGCTGCACACTGACGTAAACAGCTGTGTTTGTTGTTTGTTTTTTAGGAACCCGATTCTTTAAACTCTGTGAAAAATGTTCGTCCCACTCTGACGTTACGTTTGTGGTGCACAGCGTGAGGCAGGTGCCCGAGGTCGCGGCTCACCTGCAGGACGGCGAGCGCGCTCTCCAGCCGGCCTGTGAACAGGCTCAGCTGGACTCTGTAGAGCAGCGCCTCCATCAGCTCGAAGGACAGCATCTCTGTGACTCCAGACGACGCCTCGGCGAGGAGGAACTGCAGCAGACGCTCGCACACGTAGTCTTTCCCTTCAAATGAGCTCTCCAGGTTCAGGTACTGAGCAGCAGAGGTCAGAGGTCATTATGACATTTACCTGATAAACAACGCTAAAACCACCAACGCGCCACCGTTAGCCCGCTGTACGGTGAGCTAGCGGCTCCTGCGAGCAAACCACGCTCACTTACATTCCACCACACTCTGTAGTCAGGGGCGTGCTCCACCGCCATCTCGCACATCTCCTGCACCTCCTCCCGGCTGCCCCGCCTGGAGAACAAGGACAGGTAATGGCTCCACACCTCGGGATTATCGCAGTTGCTCTCCAAAGCGCGTGACAGCGTGTTCAGGGCGGCTTCCAAACACTCTGCCGCAGAGCTGCAGGGGACAGATTCAAGGTTAAAGGGGGTGGAGCTCCGCAGCACAGACCTTGAGGTAGGCGGGGACTTACGTCTCGCTCTGACTGAGGTATTTGAAGGCGAGCTTGATCCACAGCTGAGTGTCTCGGGGGCTCTCCAGGACGCTGGCCTCCAGGTTGGCGATGTCGTCCGTCTCACTGATGAAGTAGCGTTTGTCCTCCGAGGTGACGCACGCGTCCAGAGCAGAGAGGACGGCGTGAGCGCCGCTGTCTGCATGCACACAGACACACGTGAGCTCACTCAGACCTGCCACGGAGGAAACGACGAAATCCTCCCCGTTCACTAACCTCTGCCAGGTGTCACGTGACCGGCCGCCATCCCCTCGTCGCCGCTGCCGTCGTCCTCAGGACTGAGGTCACTTTGCGTCGATGGCTTCGGCCTCCACCTCCTCGCATCCTTGTAGGTGGTGTAGGGCGGGACTGAAGATGGAGGGGACAGGTGAGAAGCACGGAAGCGGCTGGAGCAGTGGGCGGAACGTTACGGGAACGCTGACCTACCGTGGCGCTTGCTTTCGTTGACTTTGCTGACGAGGAGGACGGCCTTCTGGTCGACGCCCATGCGGTCCTTGTTAGAGCCGAACAGCCTCTTCATGTACTTCTCTGCAAACAAACACAAACACCTGAGCTTCCACGTGACACACCTGCCGACCACCAGACCGAGGCTTCGCACCCACCGCACCTGTGGCGGCGCACACGTCCTCGTCCGAGCTGCCGTCGGAGCAGCCGATCAGCGACAGGTCGTAGGACAGGATGTCCTGGAAGAGCTGGTTCCCGCTCAGAGTGCAGTTCCTCATGTGCTGCCTGCGGCGCAGAGGGACAAACATTAAACAGGAAGAGCTACAGACTCAGGCGGGTAACATTATCGTCACGGTAACAGGGCGACACATCACGCAAACGTGCCGCTGCGTTGTTTTACTTTGTGGCGTGACGTCCACCAGCGATCAGCGGGGTGTGTGCACACTCAGCGGTCAGGCTCAGGAATATAACCCGCACGTGTCCGCCGTGAGGTTTCACACAGACATGCAGTGATTCTAGTTGCTCCGTGTTGCTGGTTAACCAGCTTTTATCCGACTGTTCAAACTTTAAACTGTTCTGCTCTCTCTGCTGATGCCGGCTATATCTTTTGGTGCTCATAACTTTCACACTAGGGCTGGGCCATATTATACCGTTCACGGTAATACCGGCATAATGTTAGACAACGATAGGAAAATGAAATATCGCGATAGAATATGAGTAAAACGCGCATGCGCAGTGCCTTTGTTTTCATACGCACATGGCCGATTGTTGAGTGAAATAAATGAACCAGAATTGGTTTGTAAAAACTAACCCAACTTCAGTGATGTGGAACTGGTTTGGTGTTTGTCCGTCAGATACACGACGAAGCACATTTTTTTGCAGAACATGCAAGCGGCCGTCGTTATTGTCATATTTGTCGGACTAAGATGCTCTTAAATCTGGGAGTAATCTGGGTCCTAAATTCCGTATGCTTCAGGTCAAACGAACACTGCAGCATCACTGAGAGTTAAAAACTGTCTAAATTCTTTCATCTTTAATAAAACGATCAGCATTGCTGCTTTACCAGGTGTAACTATGAAGTTTAACTTCCAGGCATCCATGAAAACAAAA